ACATGTTATTAACGTAGCTTCCACCTCTTCCTTCCAAGTAGATGGGGGTGGTGAAGGCAGTGTTTGGTATGTTTGCCTTTATTTTGGTCAGTGCATTGAATACAGGATTTGGGAACATCATGTTGTGGCTGTACAGGACATAGAGGCCACTTTTAGAATACTGCATTCACTTCTGGTCTCCTGGCTATGGAAAAGTTGTTGAAAAGAGTTCAAGAAAGATTTACAAGGAAAGGATGTTGTTGAGATTGGAGGGTTTGAGCTGTAAGGAAAGACCGAGGCTATTTTCCCTGGCGTATTGGAGGCTGAGGGGTGACCCTACAGAGCTTTATAAAATCACGAGGGGCATGGATAGGGTGAATAGCCAAGGTCTTTTTCCTGGGGTGGGGGAAGGAGGAGGGGGAAAGGAGAGTCCAAAACTACAGGATTTAGGTTTAAGGTGAGGGAGGAAAGATATGAAAGGGATCCAAGGGGCAACTTATTCACAGAGGATGGTATGTGTATGGAATGAAGTGCCAAGGGAAAATGGAGGAGGCTAGTACAATTACAACATTTAAAAAGGCATCTGGATGGGTATATGAATAGGAAGGGGCTAGAGGGATATGGGGAAAATGAGACTAGATTAAGTTTAGGATATCTGGTCAGCATAGACAAATTGGACCAAAGAGTCTTTCCATGCTGTACAACTATCCCCATAAAACCTTGTACCTCAAGACTGGAAGTGGTAAATGAGAGAGTAGGGAGACCTGGAGCTGGTCCCAGGAAATAAAAAGTGAACAAGCATCAGCAATGTGGTGGATTCTCAGCTGCCCTCTGGGCAATTAGGGATGGGCAAGATATGCTGCCTTAAAAAAGTGACACCCTCATCTTATGAGGGAGGAAAGAAAAGAGCTTCAGAAGGGGGACCTCTTGGGGCAGGTGGAGGATGAAAGGCTTTAAAGCTTAGTTTCAAAAAAGGTTGTAAACCACTTGTAAAGCAAGCAGTGTGAAATCTTACAGCCTAGCTGCTGATTTTTAAATCAAGTTCTAAACAGCTTGTAACATTTTAATGTCACAATTATTTTGTCAAGTGACATTTTCCACAAAAATAGGTTTAATTTTAAATTCACTGCTCCCAGTGTTGCTTAATCCACTGGCTAAAGCTGTCAGTCCGATTGTCTCAATGGGAGAGATGTGCCAACTCGACTCCAACCACACTGGGCCATCAGCTGCTCCAAGACAGTCCCCTGCAACCAGCATCTCCGAATAGAAAATAATTCAAAGACCAACATTTTATAACATGGTGCATGCAGTGTCGAAGTGGATAAATTTTTCTGAAATAAACAAGATTTGGAAAGGAGTTATTTAGATGCAAATGAAATGCATGCAGAGAACAAAATTCAAAGCCCTCTTAATATAAAAGAGAAATTAACCCAGACTATTACAAATGGAATGGAATTGTGTAATTCAATTAGTGAACAGTGGAGTAGGATGAGATAGTAGGAACTGCAGATG